AAAAAATATCAGAAACCACTTCATCTATTTTAACAACCATTATCATTATTCAGTGCTGCAATGTGACTTGTGTCCACTTGACGAAACAAAAGAAAAACATTCAAACATAACATTATTATAAATATTCTTGAGAATAACAGACAAACATAACATAACATAGTTGTCTGTCAACCTTGTTCTGTTTTTTTTTTTTACATAAATCTTCCTGATTATTTCAAAAAATTTTTAGCAATGAGCTTTAGAGCATTGTTATTATACCTCTTTCCAGCAATATGCAGCCTGCTCGTAATTCCCAGTAAGCTGTGCCTCTCTGGCAAAATGTGAGAGCTGAGAACAGTGTAACTGGATGTTATCTGGGTAGCCCTCAACAGCATCTGGAGAATAAATCTGTTAAGGAAGTAACGATAAAACAAAAAAGTCAAAAGATGTCCTCACACACTGTATGTGAAAGTGTGTGTTTGGTACCTTGCTCATAGCAACGTGCATCTCATCAACCAGGTAGACATAGAGTTTGCTGGCAAATTCCTTCAGCTGTTGATCATCCGTGAACGGCTCTGTCCGCCTCATCTTGTCACGTACGATCCTCACCACCGCATGCTACAAACCAGAAATATACACAAGCCGTTGTGGAGAAATAATGACACTAATGTAGAAGAAGAATATGACCAGAACCATTAGATCGATCCCTAAAAATAGTTTCAGTGTCCTTGTAACTTTCATTAATCCATCATAGATGTGGGCAGTTGGTCTGACCTTCATTTGTTCCTTGAAGACAAAGTATCTCCCAGAGTCATTGAGCGCTCCTATCAACTGAATCTTCATTTTCTCCAAGCTGTCGTCTTGGGGAATTTCACAACTTGTTCCAAATAGTTCCTCACACTGTTCTGAAACATGGGACACCGTGTTTGCTACCTGCCTGTGGAAGTCCAGCACAGCCTGCAGGAGCACACACCAGTGGAGAGAATACATCAAGCATGCAAATCTCCTCGATTGGGCAATTCATTGTGTGTGTGTGTGTGTGTGTGTGTGTGTGTGTGTGTGTCCGTGCTTTACTCTTTCTGCTCTACTAGGACCAGCTGGACGTTTAGGTTTGGGAGGGATCAATGCCGCCACCCTGCAAGAAACACAAAAACATCTCAATACACTCACTCATTTGTGTTTCACAGTCAGTCAGAAACAGAGGGGGCAACTACTGAATTTAACACTTAAGTGTGTGTGAAAGTGTTGATAAATGTATAACTCTATCTCGGTGCTACAATCTAATAATGGAGCCAAAAGAAGCAGGTCAGACTCAGTCACCACATGGTTTAATTAGCACATTACCTTTGGGCTAGCTCTTCTGGTGATGGTTTTGGTACCAGCGGTTTCTCCAAGGCTATCTCAATGATAATATAAGTTCT